TTTCCCGGGGCCCCAGAGGCCCCGAGGGGGCGCTGTTAGGTCCAGAGGGGGCGCCAGAAAGGCGTCCGCCGGCACCTACAATTGGCACACAGGAAACATTCACAGATTTCTAGGGGCGCAGTTGCGCGGTGGAACGGGGGGTGGTCATAGGCTAGGGGGCGCCATCAGGCCCTGAGGGGGCGCCGACTTGCCGGTTTGGGGGCGCCCTCCCCACCGGCAGGAAGGGGGCGCCGTCAGGTCTGGGGGGCGCCGTCAGAGTCAGGCGCGGCGGAACGTGGCGCCCTTTAGGGGTTTTCGCAAGGCACCTTTAGCCAGCGCGTGGCACCGAATGCGTCCTCCCTAAATTTCGCCCATGATCTTCACAAATTAATGAAGCGCAAATCCTTATAAAGTCGAACTTTCTATCATAAAATTCATAAAAAAATTCTCGCTCGCTTCGCTCGCGTTCTCCTACGATCCATCAGTAGGTTGGTGGCTAGAACCACCCTGGCTGACGATACCATACGAGATTTGGAAACAGTGCCTCATGGGCTGACTAGCATAGCGTAATACCTCTTAAAACCGCTATTTTTGACTTGTGAAATCAAAGAAAAATTTGTCGCTCGCTTCGCTCGCGGTTTCAGATAGATGCCTCTTGTCATCCTTTCAAAGACCAAAGCTTTTAGGTATGAGTTATGAGTATAAGTTCTGTCTGGTCAGCATGCAACTCTGCACGTCCAAAAGTCTCTTCAAGTTTCGATAAATATGGACAAAATGGCGAACAGTTTCTGAGAATTGATTTTTAAAGTAGGAAAATAGTTATTTTGCAATGGGGGGGCGCCGAAACCCCCAAAAGGGAGCGCCGAAGGCGCCCTCAGGCTTGCCCCCCCCCCCTGGTTCAAAAACGTTCCGCCGCGCCTGCTAAAAAGCAAGGAAAGGAGGGGGGGGGGGGCGCAACAGCAGGGCAAAGATTGGGTGAAAACTCCATGGTTGGGGTATACTCTTCGCTCAATCAACAAGTTCAAAGCTTACTGTAGTGGCATTACGATGTCACCTAGCAAATGGCATTTTGCTTCTGAAATACGATGCTGAATTACAGACACTGGTGTATTCAAACACATTGCACCAAAGTACTGCGGCTTGAACCGGCTACCACAACAAAAAAGGAACAGCGAAAGTGAATAACACGTTATTTGCAGTCAGTCCCAACGCCTGCCTCCACCTCACTGTTAGAACATCCTAGGATTTCACGGAGGAACCCTCATGAAAAGTATTGCCATAGTCCTTTGGGATTTCCCAAAGAACTCTGTAGATTTCACGTGTCGCGAGTTTAGCTTTGAAACATATAGACGAATGAAAACTTTCACCTTCAACATCTGTTTTAGTACACAAAAACTAAGAACGGAGTCCTCCAGGAATTTTATAATAGTGGTGGAAAAGTGAATCTTCAGGAAATCCCAAGAAATTTTTAACAGTG